AGGCTCTAGAATTTTAAAAAACATCACCACCAGCTGGAGGCAGGGTTTGGGCATATGATCTTGTGAGGAACATTACACATTCCAGTCATAAGACCAGGGAGTAAGTCATAGCCACATGCATGGTCTTGGTTTGGGGACTAGGAGTGTTTGTTGGTCTAGATATTAACAACATGATATTTAAAGCAAAGGATATTAATGTTGTACCTCAGAATCTTTATCTGTAGAATTAGAAAGTATGACCTGTCATAGAATTATGTAATGATTCTACCATCACGCTGCATGTTAGTGAGGAAGATGGGATTAAAAATCTGATCTACCTTACTCCCAGTCTGTTTCATACTGTCTGCCTGAATGATTCTGGGTATCTACATCTGTGTGGACATTTACATGATATTAACAACTGTCCTTTGCTAACCAGCCACTTGACCCTGCAGGATAAAGCTTGGAGCATTAGGGCCCTCTTCATCTCTGCCTGCATACCTGAAGCAGAGTGATCCAATTTCTTATCACCAAACATTCTGTTCTAATCCTTAAAACTATGACCAGATGGCAGGAACAGATGATTCTCCTTAGAAAACTTGGTAAGAAAAGGCAGGAAACAGAAGAATACAGAAATACTGTTCAAAGTTTCAGAGGAGGAAGCAGAAGTTGTACAGAATAAAGTAAAAATTGCACTTTAAGAAGATAAAGATTAAGCTTGAAAGTATTTAGAGAGGACAGTACACTCCTGGGTACTAGAATTCCCAAGAAGCATCTCTCTCGGCCAAAGAAATGCTGCAACAGAGCTAATAACACCAAAGCTAAGTGACCAGAGGTCAGCAGAAAATAAGGGTTATAGGAAGACCATGGACCGCTCTGTAAAGTGAAGTCCACGGAGTGACCCTGGATGCTGATGGTCTCTTTTACGTCCTTCTGACTGTATGTGGAACAGTAAATAATTGTGCATGTGCCTGTGTCTAATGCTTGCATGTGTGCAGGTTGACGTGTGTACGGATATGAATGCACATGTGCGCACAGTATGCGGAGACCAGAAGACACCTTGGCTGTTCTCAGGTACAACCCACCTTATTTTTTGTGACAGGGTCTCTCACTGTCACAGGAGAATTAGGCCAGGAATTTACCTAATAGGCTAGGGTGGATGGCCAGTAAGTCACAGGGATCCACCTGTCTGCATCCCCCTGTGGTGGGATTACAAATGCCAGGATTATTTTATGTGCATTCTGGAGATCTAGCTCAGGTACTCCTGCTTGCCTTGCCAATTGAGCCATTTCCCTAGTCCATCCTTCTAGTTTAATAAGTGATGATTTTTCTAATAATTATGTGTTTAGTTACATATCATTGAACCTGCTCATGCCAGGTAACGCAGCCCAAGCAATCCGGTCTAGCCTCTCATTCTCATGATTCTACAAGATTGGGATCATCACTCCATCATACAGGTAAGAAGATTAAGAATCATAAAGTTAAATGCATTGCTCAATACAAAGTAATGGTGTGAGATTTGCATCCAGGATTGTAGATTGTGTGATGCTGTGGTTCAGGGTCTTTTTTGAAAGAGGTTCATTCATTAAAGAAATCTATTCATTCATTCATTCTGAAAGCTGTGCTATGGTCATTCTCAAGACAATCTCTCCTCCACATCTCCTGGCTTTGCTTGCTCTCTTTGGACTCTTAACGTATAAAACCTATACTTGAAGTACCCACATCCAGAGTCTTCCCATGTTATCTCCATGTTGTGGAGAAGTATGGATGGGTACATGGACAATCCCTCAGGCAGCCCAAGAGGCCAGCAATCCATCAGTCAAACAGTAGATTCCATGGCACATTTCTTCTGGCTCAACACTGGCAAGGGAACAAGTGTTAATTATTCTACTTTCGGTGTTCTACAGAAACAGCAGTGACAGTGCTGAAAGCCAGCCAGGGCACGTGATCAGCTCCACAGTTACAGAAGCTCCTCCTCAGAGAAGTCATCGCATCACATCACTTTGGGTATGGGTCCTTATGCCAGGGGGTAGCAGGATGGCAGCTGCCTAGAAATGTAACCTAGGTGGCACAGGCATCTGTCACTGTGGTTTCCTGCTTCTTTCCCCTCTTGTCTTCATCTCCTCTTTCTTATTTTCTGTCTTCTTTACATTTTTATATACATCCTCCCTAAGCCCTTCTCTATAAACTGCTCCTTCCTTGTTTGCCTCCTTCCTTCCCTCCTTCCCTCCTTCCTTCCTTCCTTCTGTCCTTCCCTCTTTCCTTCCTTCCCTCATTCCTTCCTTTCTTCTTTCCTTCCCTCCCCAATCTGAGCACAAGTGGCCATCTGTTTTCTGCAGGGTGCCTATATAAATCATCAAATACTATTGTACAAGAGAATCATTGAAAAGACCTTGGCATACCAGCCATTGATAGAGGTGCAGAAAAAGGGAAAGGCGTATGTCAATTAGTGGCAGAATCAGGACTAGAACTCAACTCCCTTGGCATAATTACCTCCTTAGTCCATCACACTCCACTAAATAATATTTATCTCCATAGATGAAGGAAGTTCACCTAGCTGAGAGACCTGGCTGAAGACCTTCCACACACAGCTCTGCAACTACATCCTCTGCCTACTAACACTTTGCCTCTTCTCCCTCCGCTCACTTAGTCCTCCTTATCTTTGCTGATGGCCCAAGTCAACCAATGACCCATGGTGGCCTTCCAAGTCTTTGACCAGGAAAAGAAGAAAGGGTGTCATTCTGACATGAGAACACAGGAGCCTTCCCCAGCAGCACCAGCTTTGAACTGTAGAGAAAACTTGTCCTGGGTCTCCGGCAGCCCTCATGTCACATGATCATGTGTTGGAGACTGCTGTTATTAACTCAGTCAGTGCAGGAGGATGCACTGGACTATGGAGATACACATCTCTAGGTGTATCCATTACTGTTTGCTTTGCTGTGATCAATACCTGACAGAGTAACTAAAGGGACAAATTCCTGCTTGCTCATGATATAAGGGGGTGCATCCATCACAGCAAGAAAGACAAGGCCAAGTTCATGGCTGGGGCCCCACATTTCAATGGATTCAGGAGCAACAGGAGGGGACACTGGTCCCCTTTGTTCAGTCTTAAGTCCCAGCACATGGTGCTGCCGATACAATTCAAGGGAGTTGTTCCCTTGTCAGTTGAACGTCTCTGGAAGCACATTCTCAGGAGCCCAAAGCTGTGTATCTTTAGTGCCCTTGGTGTTTCTTTTTAAAAATATTTTTTATTATTTTTATTTTATGTGTATGAGTGTATTACCTGCATGTATGTATGTGGACCTATGTCGTGCAATGCCCACGGAGGTCAGAATAGGTCCGTTGGATCCCCCAGAACTGGAGTTATGGGCGGCTGTTAGCTGCCATGTGGGTACTTGGAACCGAACCTGGGTCCTCTGCAAGAGCAGCTAGTGCTCTTAACTGCTGAGCTGTCTTTCCAATCCCCTTGGTGTTTCTTAGTCCAATCAGTTTGGCAATTAAAATGAGTGGTCTCAATAAGCCTGGATGGGGAATTAGAATGTAAAAGAATTTTTAAAGCCCAGAAGGAAAAACAATTTGTCAAGCATCACAGACTGTTTGTTCCATGACAAATCAGAACTAACTGCATTCTGCCTCTCATTCGGGTCCAGAAGCAGCACGTTGGGGGAGACGTGCCCCTCTGAATAGTCAGTAAGTGCCCATGCTTCCATTTCTCCCACCCCCACCCCACCTCCCTGTTTTGGCTCCCTCCTTTCCTTTGTTCCTGTTAGATTACAGGAAGGTGGAAACAGTGCTGATTTTCCTGGGATTCCTCCAACTTTGACTGTGTTTGTAGATCTATAATATTCTCCTCCATTAGTATAAATGCTCTCGAAGGACTTCTTAGATCCTATTTTGGCCCTGTTTTCTTCCCATCCTTAGCAGGGTGCAAGGCTAACCTTGACAGACAGCATGCTAGACCTCTTCTACCACGCCTTGATGAACTCCCACAGGACTCTGGAAGGCACACCAAGGAGCCAGAAGTGCTGTTCCATTGGCAGTGAATGTGGAGCTGTTGGCCAGGCCCGGATGCTGTCAGAGGAAGAGTAGGACAAGCAGAGAGGGAGCAGAGGAAGCTGGAGGTGGCAGGAGGAGGAGGACCCAGTTCTCAGCATCTCGGTCAAGCTCTGTGAATATATGTACTGCTGGGTTTGCCAAAGACAAGAAGGCAACATTTGCTTACAAATTCCAGAGAACTGAAGCCATGTAGCTTCTCAGTGCAAGCCAATGAGAGCAGCAGTCTTCTTGGCTCTCTAGGAAGATGAATTTTAGGGACTCTTTTCCTCCAGGAAAAGGAAAGGGATTCAGAAAGGAAATGGTAAGTGGGACAAAGGGTGCAAGGCACAGCATGTGCATACCTGGGCTGTAAGGTCAGACATACTGGGACCCATCACCTGAGTGACCTTGGCAGATACTGAGTCAGCCAGGTATAGTACCCATCCCCTTTGAGTAAGTTATTTGATCTCTGTGAATACCATCTGCAATAGGACGATACCTACTTGGCAGGAATGTTCTAGAGATCACAGAATGGCAAGTGCACCTCATGAAATTATGATGGTGGAGGATACAAAGAGGGTTGCTTCACCTGGTCCTCCATGCAATGGGATGGTTCTGGACAGAGCACTCTTACAGGCTGCTCCACACTGGGGAATTGAGTCCTCAGCCTGTGAACCTGCTGTGTTTTAGCATGTGCCCGAAGGGAAGCACCCAGAATGCTCACCAGATGGATGCTGTATAAATAGCATCTCTGCCACACTGTTGTCACTGCCCAAATCTTTTCACCAAGAACAAAGTTCTGTTTGTCCTTCTGGTTGTCCCAGCTTCTCACCCCAATTGGCTATGGCCTCCGGTCACTGGCTGTAGTCTCTGGTCACTCTTGGACATGTTTCTACTTCCGAGGTCCAAGAACTCGGTCATCTGGGAGTGGCTCCAGGCTGTCGCCACCTCAGCAGTCTATTCAGTCAAAAGAGAGCAGCGTCAGGATCCGGCAACAAGCTGAGCAGATCCAAGTGTACAGGCGCATCTCCATCTGGCCAAGTGTCTTCTGTCTGGGACATGACCACCCACACCATTCTTTCTGATCAAACAGTTGAGCTTGCAGTGATTCAGCTCCCGTTGTAACTCTGCAGGGCCCACACTCCTGAGGATGGAAGGTCTGTATCCTGAATGAGCAGGAAGTGTAGGCTGTGCAGCCCTCTCATTCCAGACTCCAGAGTACTAACTCACTTCCAAGTCTCTTCTCTCTTTACTTTCAGCCTTATTGGCTTTCAGTCTTGGAGGGATAAAGGCCCAGGGAGGATAGAATGGGGATTCAGGGAGCTTCACTTCAGGCTATGAGTTTGTTTTAGGTGTGTGACTGTGGACTTGGATGTTTACCTCTCTCACTCTCACTTTCCTCACCTCTGCAGGAAGAATACTACTACCTGTCCACCCTACCATGGAGACATTGCTCCTCCACTCAAGAGATAAGAAACGAAACCAAAGAGTTTCCTTAAGATGCCACCAGTTAAAAACTGTGTCTTACCAAAGCTCTGTGAAGATAGTCTGCTTTTGATCCAGAAGCTGCTCCATTTCCTCATCACCTGAAGGTGAGTTAGAGCCAGAGGCTGCCAGAGGGGCTTAAGAAACAGACAGAAGAGGGGAAATCTTGGAGTTAACAGGAGATGTATTAGTTACTTTTCTGTGCTGTGATAAAACACAATTACCCAGAAAAGGGTTTATTTGTGCTTATGGTTCCAGAAGGAGAGCATCCACATTAGTGGGGCAGGCCTGGCACTGAGTGCAGGAAGCCGCTGTTCTCATCCACACATAGGAAACAGAGAGAGGGAACAGGAAATGAGGTGAGGCTATAAAACTTCAAAACCCTGCCCCAGTGTTGTGTTTCCTCCAGCAGGACTTCCCCTCCTAGAAGCTTCATTACCTCCCCAGATAGCACCACCAAGGTGAACCAAGTGTTCAAATACTTGAGCCTAGAGGAACAGCTCTCAGTCAAGTCACTACACAGGGATTTGTTTTGCTTTGCTTTTTTGCATATTTGTGTCCTGTGTGGAGTGTGTGTGCATTTGTATGCATGCTCCCATGTGTGCACAGTTGCACGTACACTTGTTGGAAAGTGCATGTAGAAGCCAGAGACTGTTGTTTAGTGTCTTTCTGGACGTCTCTCCACCTTATGTGTTGAAACAAGGTCCCTTTCACTGAACCCACAGCTCACCTATTTGGCTATCTAGCTGGTCAGTTTGCTCTGGAAGACTGTGTCTCTTCCTCCCATGCTTTGGATTACAGGTAGGCTGCCATACCCACCAGCCCTTATGCAAGTTTTGGTGATTCAAATTCTGATCATCACACTTATATGACAAATCTTTGACCCTCTGATCCATCTCCCCAGCTCCAAGAGAGAAGTTCTATATTTCTGGACTTTTCTCCACTAAATTTTTTCTTCCTGCCTTGCAGTCCTCCTTCCCATTCTCTGGGCACTCCTCTATAGGGATATAACATCTCTGCCAGACACTGATGTAGGTGCTAGAGTTGCAATGATGTGAAATCTTCCAGGAGTTGAGAGTGTAAAGGGGAGACAGAAGCATATGATATACAAGGCTATAAAAGAACAAAAACCAGACTCGGGAAGCCCAAGGACAAGCAGAGGCCAGCATTCTATATGGATCTCAGAGCAGCCTTTCCAGACAGCCTCTATCGCACAGAGCAGGAAACCAATGGGAAAGTTGAATGGCTTGCCCAATGTCAAAATCAGTAACCCGTGCCAAGTTTACTCAACTCAGTTGTGTTTGATTTGAAAGATCATTCTCTTTCCATACCACTTTTGAACAAGCTTGACTGTATTGGAGGATTATGCTAGTAAAAAAAAAAAAAAAAAAAAAAAAATCTTTCCTGCATCAGGAGATCACAACCCCTTTCCTACCCTCAATTTCATATTCAACAGCTTACGGTCTGAGACAGCACCCCTGTCTGCATCTACATCTGCATCTGTATCTTCTTAGACTTAAACTATAGCTGGTCTTCCTTATTTATATAAATTGCAAAGGTTTCATCAGGTCAAGACCTATGAAAATTCTTAAGCTGCATGGCTCTACTCCTTTTACTCCTCTGTACCTAACCCTCCCCAGCTTTTCCCATATTCATCCAACCAACCTTGCTCCACTCTTGCCTGAGGTGCCAGTGGCTGGGGCCCAAGCATTGAGAACAGCCTACAAAGTTGGAAGTTCTGGACTCACTCACCTTCCAACTCAGCTACTAGTACTCTGTTGTCTTAAACAAGCTTACTGAAGTCTTTGAGCCTCTGTTTCTTTGTCTCTCAAATGAGATCATATAGTTGACCCCAGAGGCACGGTGCAAGGTGCATGGTCTGTGATTTATTATCGAGAGCTTAGTGAATGTAACGCATCCAACTGCTATCAACACAGAGCCCAGTCTAATGATGTGTTTTTGATCTGGAAGGGCCTCTTTTCCTTTAAAGGAAGGATCTCTGGGTTACACACCTTTCATTATATAACGTGCACACCATCTTTCTGGAAGTGATCATCTTTCAGGCAGATAGCCTTTACCCCTTAGCCTCTGGAAAACAATTTCAAAGCTCTCTGCTTGAAATTAATGTCTAATTTTTCTCCTTCTTCTTTTCCTGCTAAATATGTTTCTGTCTTCTAATGAAGAGTCCTTCCTGATATTGGCTGTCTGGAGCCCAAGAATTCAATACTTGGAATGAAGATCTGTGGATACATGCTGGGGAGTTTGGGCCCAATGTCAAAACCGATCGCTGCCAGAACAGTCTAGACTGTATGTAGACCCAGCTCCAAGAGGAAGAGGCTGTGGCAGCACTGCCTGAGTCATGAGGCCCGGGGCCGGGACCCGAGCTTGGAGCAAGCAGCTCCCACGTTGTCAGGAGTGTGCTCCAGCTGGCTAGGTCAGGCTCAGGATACCCAACCACTCCCCCCACCCCCCACCCCCACAAAGCTTCCACCACTCAGTTCTTCATTCCTCATTTGCAAGACACTCCAACTAGTTTTGGTCTTCTATGTCCAGGTCTCCTGGAAGACAGAAGCAAAGAGAAGCAAGCCGCCCCTTGCCAGATCCTTCACGCCACCTGCTTGAGTTGTCTATGAAATCCCATAGACATTGGAAAATGGAAACGTACTATCCTACCCCCTGCCTGGAGCAGAGGCAGATCTCTAATACAGTTCACTGAACTACTAGCTTCACTGTGTGTCATGGAGGGAAAAATCCGTAATTTCCTTTCAGCATGCAAAGAACCAGAGTTCAGAACAACATCAGTTTAATTTCATGTCTACCACCTTACTGGAGACCAGCCTTTCCCAAGCTCGCTCCTCAACTCTAGAGAATACATGCATTGCTGCATATAAGTGATTCCAAGATGACATTATTTTATGCAGGAGTAGAAAAGAAAAAAAAACAATGCTGTCTATTAGGCTGACACACAACGGACAATAAAACACATCTTTAAATCAGAGATGTTAAAGTGTTAAAAGAAAAGGGAAAATAAAACAAGTGAAACACAGCACCTGCCTCAGAGGGCTGCTGGGAAGATTAATTAAGATTGTGCATCTGAAAGTGTTTTGAAAACTGTCAAGCACAGTAGCTACGCTGCCACATTTAACAGAGGCAGCACGCTGCCAGGGAAAACACAGCCTCCTAGGTCAGCCAGGCTGGGCTCCCTTGCCAGTGCCATCAAGTCCTTGCTGGGCAATCATTGACCATTTTGTTAACCCTCATGGATCTTGATCTTTTATTCAGTTAACTAATTCCTAATTTACCCAATTAACTAATTTCTGCTTTCCTCACAAGTGCAGGAGCCCAAGGAGACACACTTGACCATTTTGTTAACCCTCGTGGATCTTGATCTTTTATTCAGTTAACTAATTCCTAATTTACTCAATTAACTAATTTCTGCTTTCCTCACAAGTGCAGGAGCCCAAGGAGACACAGGGCGTGCTTACATTAGAAATATTTATTTGCCTGGAATTCAGGTTCAGCTGAACATCTATTTTTATTTGCTAAATGTGGCATCTCTGCGTAAATCAAAATGGTCAACATGTGCTAGGTGAGAGGCAGTGTAGGGTCCTATGAATTAAGCCTGGGAATTCTCAAAGGACAAGATGGATTAAAAGGGAGTCCATGAGGAGTGGGGACTAGGGAGAACCTTTCAGTGATGGTAGAGTCCAAAGAAGTGAGATCTGAGTGGCAGCAGAGAAGTCACTGTTTCTACGCAAAGGCAGAAGCCCTTAATGCTAAGAGATTGCAGGCAGTGCTCGGATATGCCTCTGCTTAAACATACCTCTAAAAAGCCAAGAGAAAGACTTCAAATAAACGTCTTTTTCTTGAAGAGGAGGAGGAGGAGGAGGAAGAAGACAAGATGGATAAATAAGTAATAACTTGCCTCTGCTTAAACATACCTCTAAAAAGCCAAGAGAAAGGCTTCAAATAAACGTCTTTTTCTTGAAGAGGAGGAGGAGGAGGAGGAGGAAGAAGACAAGATGGATAAATAAGTAATAACTACAGGAAGAGTGCTGCACTGGGGGCTGGCATGATGGCTCAGTGAGTAAGGCACCTGCCAGCAAGGCTTACAACCTGAGTTCAATCCCTGGGACCCATATGGCAGAACAGGGAACTGACTTCTGCAAGTTGTCCTTCGATTTTCACACACGTGTGGAGAGAGAGAGAGAGAGAGAGAGAGAGAGAGAGAGAGAGAGAGAGAGAGAACTTTAAAAACTGGCCTCATTAAGCGTCTGTTCTTTATCCTGAGGAGGAAAATTCCCTGGCTGGGGGTGCATAGAAGAGTTGCACTGCGTAAGAACGTGTTCCAGTATTGTTCAATAAAAGAAGAAAAAGCTATAAATTAGTTACCATTATTTAAGGGTTTCAAATATATGATTTTTCCTCCTGTCTTGCCTCTAGGTTTTATGTCCTCGAAAGAGTGTTTTCATCCTAACATTTTAGAAGTGAAATCTCAAATCATACCAAAAATTGCAAAGGCAGACTTCATTTCTCCACTCTGTGCCCCACTGGATAAATTCCTTAGCAGAAATTATGCTTAGTATTACTGCCTTGCTGTGAGCAGAAGGAAGAGAAGTTGGTTTGTTTTGATTTTAGACATTGATGAATTCAGGTCTTTGATATTTGACCATGTTTCTGAGATAGAAATACACTTGGCTATTACTCAGTAACAAGTGAATGGCACTTGTGTTTTCTTAGAACATATTCATACCTCTGAATCAGGTAGATGGGGTTATGGTCCCCCATCTGATTTATCTATATGCTATTGAGTCCCTGGGCAACTACAAGTTCTAGCCAAGCTCTTGCAATAGGTTGGTGACAGCTGGATGCCAGCCCTGGTTCCCTCCCTTTCTTACTAACAGTCTTGGCACCCCATCTAAACCATCTGTGTCTCTGTTGCCTAATCGAGGAAACGCAATGAATACTGCCTCTTTGCAGAGTTATTTGTGAAGAAACCATGAAATAATGTGGAAGGGTACTGAAACGGAAAACAATCAATAAACCTTAAATGTGTAGTTAGCAGGACTAGTTTCTTAGTTTCTTAGCAGGACTAGGCAAAGAATCTCAGCTTCCTTAGATAAATCTACTTTCTCTTTTCTTGATGCATACAGCCTCAGACAGGTGGAAGACTTAGCTGGAAAACAGTCAGCCTGGTTTTTATGTGGGATCACTAGTCTCTGCTCTGGAAGCAGAGAAAGCTAAGATGACTCTGGGATACTCTTTGGCAAAGCAAATGTGGTGGAACAGATCCTTTTGACAACTGACAGGTCTAACTGCAGATCACAAAAAGAAGGTATGGAGAAGAAAAATCTCTGAGGAATTTCAATGTTTCATTAGGTCTTATATTTTGAAGAAAACAGTTATTCGTATATAGTAGACTACTGGGAGTGATGGAGATTCTGAATCTTCCTCAGAAAAAAAGAGCAAGATTTTTAATATAACAGAAAGAAAAGTATTTTAGAAATAAGAGATTGTATTGCTAATTAAGACCAGTTTTCAAGACCAATGTATGGAAACAATACTATCATTTACCCACCAAATGCAATTTTCTAGAATCCATGCTATGAAAATGTAATCTAGAAAAGCATATTTTGAAAAAGAATAAATCTTAGTAATCAAATAAACTGGGATTTGTACTTTGCAGATTTTAAATCAAAGTCCAAAAGAATTTTGAGGCAGCCAGACTGATAGCGGAACCAGAATCCACTCAGAATAAATAAATTTTAAGTGCAGCAGACTCTTTCCTGCTTTTCCTTATATTTTCATGCAGTCTCTACTAGACGTGTTTTGGTTTCCATTTCCTGCCAGGGAATGGTAATGTGATGATGATACACCCAGCATGATCAAGGTCAAGGTCGAAACTTTCTAGAGCACAAGGGATTGCCATGACTTTCTCAGGTAAATTGACCTTATTTACCATGGACTCTCATGGACCCATCATCACATTAAGGCAGGAAGAGGACAAGGGTACGGAGGGGAAGATGAGCATAGCTGATCTTCCTCCTTGTGGGCTGGAAACATCCAAGTTCATCATTTGGTTCCAGCACAGTTATCCCTCCTCAGCACACTCCAGCTGTCTTGAGAGCATGGCCCTTCTCTCTGATCACATCTTTAAAAGACTCTGGAAGTACTTTTAACAAAGGATGAAGAAAGAGCCATCTAGGGCTACAGCACTGAGTGAAAAGATTGTCTGTTGATTTAATAAAATAGATTAATGTCTCATAGTCAAAAATGCATACAACAAAATAAACTCAGATCTCAGTGTTAGAACATGTCTGTTACTCCCTGGAAGCTGGCTTCCCACAGAAGACACAAGGATTATATTCCTGCTCCTTCCTTCTCTTGCTTGGAGTGTTAGAAATCCAAGGCTCAGTCTGGAGTTGTGTGTTGATGTCTGTTCCTTGCTAGGACATCTAGAAATATTATGATGATTACTTCATTTTTCCTTTTTTTCCTTTGGAGATCAAAAGTTTGAGTTTCACTGGGTACAATGGCCTCACCTTTAATCTTAGCACTGGGAGGCAGATTGCTGTGAGATGAAGGCCAGACTGGGATGGTGTACATAATGAATTCCAGGATACCTAGGGCTACATAATGAGACCCTGTCTAGAGATTAAATAGATAGATAAATAAATAAACAATAAATAAATAAATAAAAAGTTTGAGTTTTGATATTCTTGCTTTATTCTGAGCTGTCTAGGTTGGCCTTTGCACTTAGTCAAAATTACACACACACATACACACTAAGTAGAACATGACTGTAAGTTATTGTCTTTGCTTTCTTTTGCTAATGACATGATAGCACAGATTGGGTAAATTGTCAAGAAGTTGGTTTATTTGAGCTCACAATTCTTGATGGAGATTAAAGGCCTGTATCTGGTAATGGTCTTCCAGGTGGTATTGTCCTGGAGGTATAGAGCATAATAATATTGTAAAAGATAAAGAATACGTTAGAGACCTACCAAAACTGGTTTGGGGAACAGACACGTCCTTGAGATGACCCATTAACCCATGAAGCATACAGATAGACTAATCCATTCATGAGGACAGCATCCTAATCACTTCTTATATTTACCAACTGATGCCATGTCTTAATCTCTTATAATGAGGAGTGAGTTTCTTACAGGTTTCAAAGAAACCAAACCATATTAAAACCGTGGCAGTTATCAGAGAATATGTGTATACTAACTTAAGGAAAAACAAAGGTATTTTACATATTTTAGTCTTTTTTACCTGCATGTATAATCTAATCCTGTCTTTCTAGAAGACTGTCCTCCTCTTCTCTTTGATCCTGGTAAGACTGTTGATTATAATGCCTTGTTCTCTACCACAGGAGTTGATACCTGAACACTAGTTTACCAGTAAGCATGTTCCTATACCCTTCTCTTCTGTTATTTGTTCAGAGACGAGAAGGAAGGGACCCGGGAAACTGACAATATTCTCACATGGGATTGTGCAGACACAGGGAGAAAATGATTCTTTTTGCTGAAAGGTTGTAGATCTGGGGCTGTCAGCAATCAGCAGCTGATTGCCATTACTAAAGCCAAGTGAAGATCAGCAGAAGAGCAAGAGGAAGAGAGAAGACGGGAAATCCTGGCATTCTTATTCACATAAGACTACGTAAATATTGATTTACTTGATACCAAAGAAAGGAACGCAGGTCTATCAACAGCTTGATAACTGGCTTCTTGGCATAAAATATTCGAAAATTTGACATATCCATAAATTTCCAATATATTTTATTGCTTAAAAATTATTACCTAATCTTACTTGAGATGATGATTTTCTGGATAACACAAGAAAGCAGACTAAGTAGCTTCATGGGTTAAGCCAACAAGGTCGTTCTCCAAAGGAAATCTTATATGAAATGCTGGTACAGAGAGAAAATAGAACCACTGTCATAGACAGGGGCAGACAGGAGGAAAGCAAGCTTGATCACTTTGTTTTCCTCAAAGGAGACCTTGAGGCATCTCTGTAGGACCCTAGTATTTAAGGAAACAGTTATAAAACCATTTGCATCATGTAGACTGTAGAGCAGACTAGATTGTAAACTCAGTAAAGACTATATCTAGTTTATCTATCTTATCTTTTTCCCAATCTTCAGTCCTTACTGCAGTAGCTGCATGTAAATCCATGAATGCTTTATGATGAGCCTGTTTTCTATTTGTGTCTGCTAAACCGAGTGCCATGTTCCTTTCTTAAAAAATGAATAATTTCCAGAATTGCTGAGAGGTAAGTTTGGAACCCAGTGTGTATGATAGATACCTAGCATGCTTCCCTTTGCCTCTTGTCCCTTCAGTGTTCTCT